AGCATACTGCATTACTTCTTACTTACTACAGGGACTTTGGTCCTCTTTCAGCAGGAATCTTCAAAACTTAATAGACACAATAAACCAATCTGTTCTAGAACGCTGTATCACCGTCTACCCTTTGCAGCAGCTATATCCATATATCTGTTTAAAATTTAAACACTTCCTTAGCAGAAGCCTCTCACTACAAAGTGCTAAGAAATTCATGATCTCTTTATTTTACAGCATAAGCGATATATGGAACCATTTTGAGACAAATGGGTTTTACAGTATGAAAGGGTATATTCCCTTTTCCTGCAAATGAGAAGATGACAAATTGAGGAACAGACTTGAAGACACCCAAGAAGCAAGAGCATCAATCTTATTAGGGTCAAAGGTCGTACCACAGGAGACGCCCTTCATACTATCTCCTTCTCCGCTGTCCTTTGTCCCAGTCACTAGAAATGAGAGGTTATAAAGAGAAAAGGGAACGAATAAAGGAATGTAAGCAGATGATGTGAGGGACGGATGGTGTGATGGATGGGAGGGCTCCTTGCTCTCAGTGTGTGTGTGTATGTGTCCACATGGATTGTGTGCATGTGAGCATGCCCATATCCTTCTACTGTTGGTCATTGTGTGTATCGTAGAGAGGGATGCATTGATGGACGAGGAGCATCCTTTGCCGTTTCAGCAGTGGAAGTGCTTAAAGCATCTAGGCCCCAGGGACGGGTCATGTCACACTCATTCTAGTGACTTATGGACCCGCCATGACAAACTCCCCAAGGGCTGCCAATGGGGGGGTTGGGAACAGAAGCCAGACCCCCTGGAAGAACGCACCTCGGCTCTAAAACAGAAACCACTAAGTGCTGTTAAGTTTTCTCATGAAGGCCGTGAAGCTCGTAGAATAATTCGTGAAATAATTGATGTATGGAAACGCGTGCAGGGGAGGAAATTAATGGAGAGTAATGTGGGGTCGCCTCTCAAATATTTAAAAATGGCTTTCTCATTATTTCTCTCAAGCTCCTTTTGTGTGTGTGTGTGTGTGTGTGTGTGTGTGTTTTGTTTTTTTTGTCTTTTTTCCCCCTCCATCTCCCTTTTTCATACTCTCTCTCTTGTTTAGGATTCAGCCTGCAGGCTAAATAAATGGAATAGATTGTGATGAATGAGTTTAAAGCACACAGTGCAAAAAAAGGCTGCTTAATTCTTATACACCGCTGCCTTGGTTTCCTGTTTTTGGCTATGTAGATGCTGAGGAAGGTTCGCCTGCACAAAGAGAGATATTATCATTGCATGAATTTTGTCTGCTACAAAAATCTACCACTCTCAAATCAGTTATGAAGGGGAAATAATTGTGTCGGAACAGAGCGGGGGGAAAAAACGTCATTTTCAGGTATATTGTGCATTATGAATGTTGCTGCCTCGATGCACTGTATCAAATACTGTCAATGTTTTTTGCTCTTGATGTTTATTGGTGACAGGTAAATTCATATTGTGGGAATAAAAAGAATATGGATTCTCAGACAGGTAAAAAAGAATTTGCCACTTCAGTGCTCCAGGCACAGCCCTGTTCTGGGGATTGCACTAGTAATTGCACTTTTAGACTTAATTTACTGCCCAAACTAATAACCTGGAATGGAGAGTGTGATGAGAAAATCACTTACATGTGCGCACAGACACACACTCATACAATACTACACATGCATGTCCACACTTCCACACTCTGACAGTGCTGTGCCCTCAATCAGTTCTAATCCAATGAAATCAGTCATCCTGTGCATCTTTCCCTCTCTCTTTCTCTCTGTCACTCTGTCTCACACACATACTGATACTTTTTTCCTGTCATTCTGCATACACGTCCTCTTCCTCACACATCTGTCTTCTTCAGTTTTTTCCCCACGGCCCAAAATTAGACATCCTTACAGCACACATTTTGACTGGTCATAGCAGGAAAAACACAGGTGTAATGGCTAACATTAATGATGGCTCCTTTCCATTTAGGCGTGCCAGTAATCCGTGCCAGTAAGCCAGCACGTACAGTATCAGGGCACTGGCACACCAAACAGCCAGTGTTAATGTTGTTAGTTACACCTGTGTTTGACAAGTCAAAATGTGTGCTGTGAGGAAGTTGTCTGTTTCTGTACCCCGCCCCACACTTCTTTCCTTCCATTTTATACTAGCTTTTTGTGACACAAGATGTTGACCTTACACGTTCACAACCACAGGGGTGAAACAGTTAACCTGCATGCTACCAGGGCCCCCTGTAGCCATGCTGCAGCACTGAAGCCTCAGTCCCAGTGACTATTGTGCTAATCAGACCGAGTCCTTGTGTATATGCTAATCTGGTAGTGATGAAGGGGAAGCTGTAATAACATGGCCATGGCTGGTCAAAATAAAGGCTATGGCACAGTGGAGCCTAAAAGACCCTCATCAGAGTACAGGATGAAGCCAGAAGAAGAGTACCGGCACTAACCAGGTACTTTAATGGTGGTCCATTTAGGGAAGAATCCTTGACGTCTGAGCAGGTGCTGCCTTTAACAGATGATGGAAAACACTTGCTGTGAAATTACTGATTGGGATGTAGCTTGAAGTGCAACATGCAGCTGCAGTCTTCTGCCCTAAGGGAATCATTGCAGATTTTACCATTTAAGAGCCTCTTTAGAGAAGTAGAGAAATGTTGTGGATTTGCCTGATATGTTTTAGCTGTTGGGCAACAATGCTGATACTAAACAATATGGTGTGTGTGTGTGTGTGTGTGTGTATATCTCATGTTGCGTTTATTTTGACAGAGATTGCGCTTGGGTTACGATTGAATAGTTTATTGCATAACGATTTCAGTGGGAACTGCGTTTCTCACTTAAAAAAAAAAAAAAAAGATAATTTTTACTGGGTCTGTACCAAACAAGCATGTTCCCTTACGTCTGGAGAAAATGACTTATAGGCCGGGGCATTTCTGTAGCACCACAATGTTTCATTTATAATGGGATGTTGTGACACATTTTACCATAATCCAAAACTTGCAGCTCCTGCGATTTGGATATTGCATTTAGTCATATTGCTATTTCTATAATATTTCAGCCCTACTGACACTGAATTTCTAGATTGAAGCTACATTGTGCATGTATATTTTTAGGTTGGAAATCCATGGCAAACAAGCTAGAATTGGACTGGGTTTGGCAATTAGGACATTTCTGACTTTTTAATCAAAAATTTAAAGGAGGACATAAATAAATGCAAAATGCAGATTTCATGTTTACATACTGGATGATAGAAATGTTTTCTTACATTTGATATTTATATCAATTTGTATCCTATTAGTCAAAAAAGCCTTTTCTAAATATGTGAACTGACATTGTGTTTTGGTGAGACAGCAGCACATTGCTTTTTGTTTTGGACATCTGTCATCTGCAAAGCCCTCACCACCCCAACTATGGACATAAACTGCCAAATATGAGCACAAATATTCAGAGACGGCGTTACTAAGGGCTTACGCTGTCTCAGCTTCACAGCTAAGGTAACCTTTGTCAGGGGTACACACAAGCACACACATCCGAAATCAAGAAATTAGAGGTTGTGTTTGTTGTCCGATGGGTGGACTGGGCACAAACGGTTTGCAGTCTTTTTATTTACTAGCCAGTTAATTCCACAGCTCAAGCTTTGTGGAATGCACCGTGGGTGAAATGATTGATCTGTCCTTGTTAGACCTTGCTGTAAGGAAGTTTTGGCTTACTGATCTAAAAAGGGGAAGAGAGGAAAACAAACTTTAAAAAAAAAAAACTGTTTTGTTTTTTTACTCTTTAATTAAGTCTACATGAAAGCATTTTTTTGTGACAAATATGAAATTAAAAAGATTTTTAAAAAACACTATTGCTTTATATATTCACAAGAAGACAATTCCGAGCATCTTAACATGTCATTTAGTGTTGCGCCAAGTCCTACTTAACCGTATTTATCCTAAAACAAATGAAACACATTGTGCAAACTGAAAATGAGGCTGGATTTCTTGTTAAGATAAACCAAAATAAGCTGATTGCTTTATTAATGTTATTATATTTTGTAATACATTATGAAGCTGGAGACATCCAATAGGGAGGCAAGTGTGCACTGAGTGTGATGTTGAGGTGCCAGTGAGCTGTGTTGCTGTATAGGAGCCATTCTGTCTTCTCCGGAGGTCAGCCCAGTCCCCATGGAGAGGCTGAGTTTCATCCAAAGTCCAGCACATGCTCTGACCAGCTCCCTCACTGCGTGGGAGTGTGGGAGTAGGTCTGTAAGCTGTGATAGTACATGCGTGTGTAATGCATATTTGGTCGTGGCATTTTTATTAATACTCTGAAGATTTGTTGTTTGAGATGCAGCACGATCAAAACCATCTAACCACTACACACCTAGTATAATAGCTGATGTACTTTAGGCTTAGCCATTCTACTGTATGTCATCAAGGGGGGAACTGAAACTACAATGACGTGTCTTTACTGCAACACTGAATCAAGAGGTTCAGGAGCAAGTGATTGGCTGAACTTCCTTTGAACTTGATTTGCTTAACACACAATTAAACAAGGTACTGTCAATACTGGGCTCACATAATTTGCATGCAAATACATGGTCAACATTGCATTCATGAGTGTCTGAGTGACTACGATGGTAATCTGAAGCACTTTAGAGAGGGAAAAAAAGGAAAATGTAAATGTATTTCACTGTATATAGGGTCATATTATATATCATGGTACTTTTACTGACTGTGTGGGTTTCCATAACCTCTTCTGGTTTGAGGCACTGTATCAGCACTTCTGCTACTACCCTGATCTGTCTGTGCATAGCCAGGAAAATATTTTATCAGTGTGTTTTTGAAGTAAGTCACTGCTCGGGTCAGATATGTTGTCATTAGCAGATGGCTATGTATGTGTCGTCAGATTCTTCTTGTACTTTTCCCTTACTTTCTGGCTCTTGTCAGCACTGACACAGTGCCACAGACTTTATCACAAACTGCCTTATTAACTGTCCATTATCTCCCCCTCTCTCTCCAGCTCTACCCAGCTACACGTGTGGTAATCCTGGACAGCTACTCAATGGCCACCAGCAGGGGTCTACGTTTAACATTGGGGACAAAATCCGCTACAGCTGCAGCCCGGGCTATGTGCTGGAGGGTCACACTACCCTGTCCTGCCTTGCCACTTCAGCAGGGACTGCTGCCTGGGATTTCCCCCTCCCTTACTGCAGAGGTATGTAGGGGGAACATTGGAAAACTGTCTATCATAACAGGTCTTCGGGTTAAGTCTTGAAGTCTTTTTGTCCACCAAGCAAACATTTTAATCACATCTAATTTAAGTTGCTTGATCACAAGTGCTGACAGCCAGCTCAGAGATATGCCACAGATAATTAAATTAAATTTGATAAATATTTGCTAAAATTAAATTACTTAAAATAGATAAATCAAAATAAAACATTTGGTGAAATCATAGGGAGGCTATTTTAGCATCAACTGTAAAAGAGGATAAATGACGAGTCTAGGTAATACCAAATGACAAAGAATGAGTGGACCGATTGTTCTAAAGAACATGCACATACAGTACGAAGTCCTTCCTTCAAATGGGACTCATGCGTAACTGAAACATGAAAGTCAACATGATATTTTATAAATTTACTGGCTTTAAAAATCATATTGTTGTACTGTAGATGATGACATCGATCTTGTTTTTGAAACGAAGAGCAATCAACCTTGCTTATATAATTCACCAGTTTATAAAAGCCATCCTGCAGCCCACACAGGCTCACATACAGTACATTTACACATGCCTCCACATGACCTGACAAGGTTTTCTGTTGGTATACTGATATCTTATTTACCATGACAGGACCTCATGTGTTAGCTCCCAGTCAGGTGCTTGTGCCAGTTGTCCTTCCCTCACAGTTAGCAAGCACCCCTGCGGCAGCTACACCTGCCAGTGTGTGTTGTCTGACCCAACATGACATAGTTCTTGAAAATAGTTCACTGTAGGCAAATGTGATGCAATTGTACATCATTTAGCAAGATTTTGCTTATAAAAGTGATTTTTTACAGAACTGATAACTGATGCATACCCATGTCATAAACATTAGAGTTTGCATGTATGTCCATTTGCCGTGTGTCCATGTGGCCAACGGTTTGTGTCAGTGTGCCTGCTGAGCAGAGCGCTGAGACACTGCCATCTGCAACCAGGCCGGGAGTCAGGAAGCCCACATAGGAGCACACATGGCTGGGCACCACGCGCCAGCACAGTCCTCACCCACCCAATCACATGCATGTACATGCCTGTACTCCACATCTAAACGCAAAATTATTTGTTCATTTCATAATCTGTTCTTATGTATTTATTTAAGAAACAACTGTCATCTCCCCTCCCTCTATCCTTTCTCCTTAATTCCCTAACAATTTTCTGTTCAGACCCAATCTCAGCTCTTTCATTCATCTCCATGTCCACCCAGACTAACTTCCTGAAAAAGAAAAGATTGCGCAATCACTAAAGTATGTGATTATGCCAGAAATTACACACCAACATGTTTTAGAAACTGGCAATTTCCCTTGTGATTAATTGAGGTCTCTCAGTGCCACATAAAAGTCAACTTGTACACCTGAGTGCTCCTTCATAATGCATGAGTGTATTGTTAATATCACTCCAATTATAGAACCTGCCCATATGTGTAAGAGCAGTACTCAGGCTGTACTTTGTGAGCGGGGGAGAACTTTTTGGCACTGTCACTATTCTGGACTCAGGAGAGGGCAAACGTGCCAGCACTGTGGGGCCATAGATGATAGCCAGCCATTGATGGCACAGATAATGTTTTACATTTCCTGTCTTGTGCTCATCAATTTCTTCTCTTAGCTATAATCTTAATACATGTCATTAGTATGCTTGATTTAACATCACTATGTTATTTAGTTTTAGACACACTCTCCTGACCCCAATCTGCTCACACTCTACACCATCACTCTTTTCTCCACTCTTTCTTCTCCTTTTTTGCTGCAGCATATCTCTCCAGAAAAAGGCTTACTACTGACAAATTCTGAATGTCACTTCTCATTTCTACAACATCACAAAGCTGTTTATCTTTGGTGTGAGCGCATGCTTTATTCGACCTATTACAAAAGCTCTCTGATTTTTAGTGGTATTGTGGCACATTTAGTTTTCAAAGCTAGTTTTTCTGTGTGCATGTTTGGTGTATAGAAACATGCATTTTAATACACATCTAATGTGAATGTTTTCATATTTCATGCCTTGCCCATGCTGCCCAATATCTTAGTTATCGCGACACTCAGAACCAGAAGAAGTACCATACATGTTATAGAAAACCATGACATACCAAGTGACAGCCTGAAAATATGTGCTGTTGAGCCGTGGGAAGCATCCTGACATCTACAATTGACTGAGTGGGGGAAAAAAATTAACAAGTTTTTCCACACTTCACATATTGAGATGTTCGGTTTTCCGGTTTCCTTCAGTCCATGGTATAACCATTTTCAATTTTCCATTGTCGTAGAGAACTTGCATCTGCCAGTGGCAGCCACAAAATGGAGGGAGTCAAGGTGAAAGGGGGAGTTTGGAGTCAGAGACTTCCCTTCAAGTGTGAAGAAACAGTCTTGTGTGGAATATCAATACACCTCCTCATCCTTTCTTCTGTCTGCTGTCTACTTCCTGTCACTCCCACTGCAACAATCACCTGTCACCCTCTCAGCATCTCTCTCTTTCCTCATTGTCCACCCTCCCTCTGCACTTTTCTCTCACCCATCCCTGCTTGTCACCTGCCATCCTCTTCATCCCCTTCTTCTTGCACTTCGGTTGTGGTTCCTCTCCTATTCAAGTTCACACCTCACAAGTTTCCTCTCGTCCGTACACTCCTTTGCCCTCCCTCAGGGGGGTTGCCGTCGTGACGGGTAGGATGGATGATGGACAGGGCCCGGCGCCTCTGAGCTCCTCCTCCCCTCTTGATCCACACCACACACAGCCAGCCTGCTAACGAATCCCACACCACCACGACCCAGAGGCACACATGCACCCGCATAGACACACACATAATTTCACGAACAATAATAGTGTGCAAGTGTCATTCAAAACATCTTTTGATGTGTCCCTTCTGTTCAGCAGTACATACTGTACACATACAATATTTTAATGTCTATTGCCCCGAATTTTGCACATGAATTGCAGTGCAGATATCACATGCTAAATGATTTTTCAAAGCTGTAATGAACATATCCAAAGCTGGGCAGGGGAATTATCCTGGCACCACATTAAATGCATGCTTTATTATTTAATGGTCTCCTTAAAGCAGTCTTGAGGAGGGAAGATATTCTTTGATTAACACAAATCTGAATTAATCAGAATTTAATCACTCTCCCCTACATTGCATTTGGTTGCATCACACAATCTACCGTGCTCCCTGCTGACTATAAAAGCACTGTAGGGCATTTTGAAATCCTATGACTGGTGTCTCTCTGGCCTATGGCAAAAATTGCAGACAAAGGAACAATATGCTGTAAGTCATTGCACATTTTCATTCTCCTGAATTTGAAAATCCGCAATATTGCTCATGGCAAAAAGATAATTTGCGGGCAGACTAGATAAGTGTGTGTATATGTATGTGTGTGTGTGTGTGTGTGTGTGTGTGTATATATATATATATGTATGTATATATATGTGTATATATATATATATGCGCACACAAGTTTACTGACAAAACTTCCCCATCAAAGTTGGCACTAAGTTAAGCCTATGTTACATAGTTTGGAGGACTTTTGTTGCTGAATCATTATGTATCAGTATTATCAGTCATCAGCATCTCTGTCATTGCGATATGTTCTCAAGGTGTTTTAGGAGCTTGATCAATATTGAGCTTAATCTGTATTCCAATTAGTTTGCCATTTTTTGCCATTTTATATATTTAGTCAATTCCTGTATTGGTCTATATTAGCCGCAGAAATGGATCAGACAGCAGCCAAGGACAATTGTAAGAGTGACATTTTAGAAGATGGTGACCATAAATGAAAGTCTTAAAAATGTTAACTGTGAGTGTAAAACTTTCTCCAGTCCTAAAAGTGATGGCTTCCAAGAGCTTGACAGGACAGTATGTGAGTGCTCCTCTGTAAGGAGCGCTCGTATCATCAGTGCTGTCTTTTATTTGGGCCACTATGACACTGATCCTGAATAAGTTAACAATGATCAGTTAGAATTGTAGTATGTCTGCTTATGTGTCAAACCTGACCTTTAGCTGTAGTTAGGCTGCAGTTTGTGTTTATTAACCTTTTACTAAAAAGCCTCGCCTACTGTTTCCATTTCTGTTCATCTTCAGTTATCTTGCACCTCAAGTCTGTGATGATCTTTGTTTATATTTCCCCCTTTTACTAAGCTTTCGCAACTTTGTCTCCCATGTGCTCTCTGCAGCGGATGATGGGTGTGGGGGGACACTGCGGGGCCAGAGTGGGGTGATCACCACTCCCAATTACCCAGCTGAGTATAACAACAATGCTGACTGCACCTGGACTGTGCTGGCTGAGCCAGGAGACACCATTGCTCTGGTCTTCTCTGACTTCCAGCTGGAGGATGACTACGACCTGCTAGAGGTCAGCGGCACTGAGGGCTCTTCACAGTGGTGAGTAGTCAGCCTGCAGCATTTTGTCTGGAGAACGAGCTGAGCTGGGGACAGGAAGGGCAGGGGAGTCCACTGATGCTCCACCTGCCCACAGGCACTTTTGCAGATGAAGGAATGAGCTGGTTGAAGTATTGTTGGAAGTGGATGGTTGTTGGGTAGGTCCAGTGGTACTTAGGGGGACTATGTCTAGACCTGTGGTTCTCAAACTTTTTCTGTCATGCCCCCCTTTATAAGTAAAAGAAAGTTCAAACCCCCTGACTCCAGCAAAATTGAATTTCAATTTTAACAATCATTAACAACACGGGCGTTTGAAATAAAACAAAGGATTCAAGTTAGCAAAATAGCCTTGCTTCCATCAAACCCCTTTTTTCGTTTTTGTCACCACATGAATCACATTCCTGCAACCTTAGGTCTGCTCAACATCCATGCCTCCCCTACAGTGGCACTATCCACCCCCCAGGGGGCCCATCTCCCAGTTAAAGAACCACTGGTCTAGACCATAGCAATCTGAGATGTCAATGGGGAATAACAGAGGAACAGGAGTCATCAAACATCAGTTATCAAATATCAAGTGCTACTGGTATACTTTGACATGAAAATAATAGAGTGATTTATTAGATCTTTTCAAAAGTATGTTGTTGATATGCAGTTCATAGCTTTTCCCCCTTAGGGGTGTATCATGTGGTCTGTGGTTTTAAAGTGTAATTTGAACACTCAATCTTGGTGACATACTCTCACTCATTCTCTCAATTACTCAGTCTCACACAAACACACATGCTTAGCTCTAATGATGAAGAGGTAGGATATCCTGGTGTCAGTGTGGGTCTCTCACCATCTGTGGCAGCTCCTCCTCTCTCTGACAACTCTCTCAGCTCAGGAAGTAATTAGTGAGCTCGATTACCACCGCCAGCCGTATAGTGTTGTTTAACCCACACTCATGCACCAACACACACACACATGCAGTATAGCCCATATGGGCACAGATTGACACATGCACATAAGTATTCACACTTTCAGCCAGACTTTCATATTTGTCCTGGCACTCTTAGAACTTGTACAAACAGATGCACTCTTTCACACTCACTCTGCCACTTTCTCCCTTCCTCAGTTACCACATAAGGCTAATATTAGCATGATATATGTATGTATGTGCTGAATACAGGTGGATGGATGCACCAGTTATACAGCAGAAAAAGCTACTGCACTTTTGTTGTCTGAAATAAAATATAAAAATGCTGGTTTCAGGATCATGTAAGAGACAAGCAGTTCAGATAAACAAGAGAAGACAGAGGAGACTGTCAGTTGGCAGGAAGGGACAAGGGGTAGTACTGGCTGAGCTGTTCACTACTTGAAACGAAGACACACACAGAGAAAGACAGAGGAATAGATGACTCTTGATAGAGGAAACAGGTTCAGAAAGAATATATAAAAAGCCATCTTAGAGTGAGATGGCCCCTGGAAACTTGTGTCAGTTTCAGTCATTCACTCAGTATTTAAGCAAAAACACTTCCCAAGAAGAACTTGATTGACTCTGAGCGGTCTTAAAACTGAGAATTGTGCCTTGTAGCCTGATATTAAAGTCTCTTTGAATCTCTGCTTGGCCAACTGAGAGTTGATCGCTTCCCCGACTCCCACAGACAGCAGCCTGACTGTGCTTCTTTTGCACATTTTATGATGTCATCAGCTTCTTGTCCCAGACTTTGATTTGCTCTCTGTTGTCATGTGGGGCGCCCAAATCTCCACCGAGTCTGTCATCTTTGTGGCGATTGTTGCCGGGGGGCGCCTATGGTAGTGCACCTGTGGCGTGGCTGCACTTCTTAAAGTCTTAAAGAGCAAGGGAAAACAGTGGGAAGAAAGTGACTAGAAAAGGGAGAGAAGGGCTATTGGCAAGAGATGTAGAGTGCAAGTCACAGTTGATCATGCACATTGCGAGGAAAAGGCAGCACAGGGGACAGAGGACACTGTGCAGACATGCTGGCTTGTCTCTATTGTTTAATTTTTTTTCTTCTCATGCTGGCTTGGGTTTTACCCACATAGTGTTGACATCAAAAGTGGTGGGTGTTTTCTCCAAAACAAAAAAACCTGACTAGCTTATTTTAACCACAATAAATGTGTCTGTGAGGTGTCCAAGTAGTTGTGTATCTATACTATTAGAGTTAGGAGTAAGAACAGAAAGGGGGTGACAGGGTTAAACACTAAGAATTAGCAGACACCAGAGGAGAGTAGTGGTGAGGAGGGCAGGACCTTTGGATGGAGATGATAGATGTGGAAGTGAGGAACTAGATATATGGGTAGAGGGACTGCGACTCCTCAGCTGGTGGTCAGGTGGAGTGATATGGTGGTGCTGCCTTAAAGCACACATCCTCCCTGTGAATGGCTCAGTGAGTCTTGTACTCAGTAGGCCTTGGTGATTGTGATCTCTCTTTTTCTCTCACCATATAATTGGACTTGGTATGTGATTTAAACACACTGGTTCGTACAGGGATAAGTTATGGTTGAGTTTTAAGTGCTGTTTCTCTTTGTCAGGTTTGCTATTAACTGTGAAGAAGGGTTTACAGTCCAATTCAGGACCAAAGTATTGTCTCATGAAGCTGATCGTACAATGAAGTATGCATTACTTCTCACTTCAAACCTTTATTCATTACTTTTAAGGGTCATATCTCTTATCTGAAGAACGGATATATCCTTATGGCCTGACCAAATGGCAAGAATGGAAGTTTTAGAGTGCTATTATTATTTCACAGCTATGTGTACAGTGTTGGCATCCCACCATCCCACTGGCTACTTTATTCAATCTGTGGGGAGTTCTAGGGGCAGTATTGATTGATACCTGACAGACATGTTGAGTGGTCCTATAGGAGAAGAGAGGCCAGGGATCAGGGTCAAAACCATGCTTCCTTAATTGATCCTCAACAGACCAAATGAAAGCAGGTCAAGTTTGCGTGCTCTCTGTTCTCTTGTTGTGGGTAAATGTGTTTGTGTGTGAGTGTTTTGAGAGGTAGAGAATGAACCAGAATAAACACCATCAATCACCATCAAGAACATCACCCCTTTGCATATGTGAATCTAATCTTGCTCACTTACATTCTTGTTTACCGTACCATCCAAAGCTTTGATTGGCGGCTCTGCAGAGTTAGCATTCTGAAGAGGCAGCAGGAGAAGACAGCCTTGAAAACTGACTTCAGGAGCTGAGATGTGTATGGGGATTGAATGTGGCAGTGGGAAGGGTTGGAAAAAACGGCAACTGCATTCCGCCTCCACTCGGCATTACCCTGACAGGACTTTTTCGGTGTTGCTTGCCCATGGGAACACATTACTCTGCCATTACATTGTTTGCATCCACATTGATTTTCTTCCCCATCACCATCCACTTTGAGGCAATGTAAATAACGCCTGACGCTCGCCAATTGCCAGATGCTCATTCGCCCGCTTGCTACTAAGTGGAACTCACAGCTATTTGACTTGTAATTTTCTTTGGCGCTCAATTGTTTTTCAAAGCACCATAATACATTTTCATCTAGCAGCAGTGCTCCCTTGAGCTGTAGAAAGTAACTCCCGCAGCACCTCAGATACTGTAAATAGTATAATAGTTGAAAGCACTCTCAATATTGGCCTCATGCCCTTGGTTATACAAAAAAAATGTCATTGTGTTGAAAAACTTGCTGCATCACAGTTATACAGAAAGTGTTATATCTTAATTTTACATTCTGATAACTTTTGCAAACTCTATTTCCCATGGGGGTTATTTGTTCTTCTTTTTTTTGTCATGCATCCATTGATGACAACACAAAGCTCCTTGGGTAAATGCAACTTTTTTTCTCCCTGTTAGGAGATCTGAGAGCTGAGCTCAATGAATTTTGATCCCTTTAGGTAGCCCATCCTTTCTCATCTCTCTTTTAACCCCATACCCTATGGACTTTAGACACTGACATTTAGTGAGCATATGGATTATCCCTGCAGTGCTGTTATGTGTCAGCTTTTCCCAGCCCGTGGAAGGAGCACGTCTGTGTGTTTGTGTGTGAGAGAGACAGAAAGAGATAAAGAGTTGTTGGAGGAAAGTACAGAACACTGGATATATATTGATTGGCTGTTAGGTTGACTCACCTGAGAGTAAGTGAATGATCTTCGGAACAGTTTTTTAAGTCCAGCGGCTGTTTTTTCTAGTTTCCAATGGGAGTTAGAGCAATATGAGTATGTTTCATTCTTGCGGAGATAAATGCCTGAACTTTTGTTTTTGTGTTTTCAAAGAGATTGGTTAAAGTTTTTTCATGTTGGGGCTCATGAGATTTAAGTTTGAGTTTACTGTAGCTCAGACTGAGTTATAATTTTACCTTGGATGATCCATTGCCAGATTTGTGTGCAGTGGTTTACGTATGCATACAACCATGAAAGTGTGTAGTTTTACACTTGTATGTCGTGTTTTTGTGTGCGTACCAACTGCTGTTCACCATGGTAACACACTCGCCCATACTTTCTCCTTGTTGGACTCCACAGCAGCATCCATCTTGTCATTTTATTAGAGATTAAGTTACAAAGTATGGAACCTAACTAAAGGGAAAGAATGATAAACAAGGAAAAAACATAGTGGGAGCTAAGATTCACCCCCTTGCCCCTTCATATGAACTGTTGCCATCTGGGCGACGATATTGCTTCCCTCTATTTACCAAAAATATATCAAAATCTTAATTTGTGCATCAAGAAAATAACTTTTTAAACAGGTTAAGGCACATATATAGCCAAATAGGCAGGATGCTCAGCTGGTCTGGTCTGCCTAATTTAATCGGTAGCAAGGTGCGGGGTATGGGAATTATGTGTATTAGTGTGTGTATTAGTATATTTATCAGTATGTCTGTTGGTTATCTCTGTGCCATGTGATTCAATGCCTACTTGATTGTGCTGCAAACTAATTTCCCTACAGGGACAAATAAAGAATGATTGATTGATTGATTGATTGAAGCTGTTGGCTGCCAGATGTGCTCTCCTTTTAAGTATTTCCTGTA